ATGATATACGCATTTCATGCTGTATATCTTGTTATCACAATTAAACGTATCAGCACACACTAAAACATTGTTCTGTTATTAATTTTTACCCACTTTACAACAAATTTATTCATTAAAATTATTTTTACACGCGATTTTAGTCATTTTTACACGCAATTTTAGTACCCAAATTTTCGCCATTTTGAGGTTCAAAAATTAAACTTTTTTTTAATACAATTTTTTGTACTATTTTTTTATGAAAGGTGTTTCTCCTACCTTTAATTTCTTTTTTATTTTTGTCGATATCTTCATTTGGCTTAAAGTTATGATTTTTTAAGTGAACAAGTGATATTTCCTTACGTACCTCTATTTCTTAATAACAAACTATATAAAAAAATAATTTTTATCGAAATATTATGATTGGGACTTTAAGTTGAAGGTTGAAAGAAGCTCCATGAATTTTTTCAGATTTTTTAAAGTGTTTTTACTGATCCAAATAACGCAAAGACGCAAACGACCCATGAGTCGGGATTAAAGGTGCCGAAAAGAACAGTCGGGATTAAGGGTTAAAATTTATTGTAATTGTAGGTTGTGTTGTGCAATTGAAATTTTATAATACAATTGAAAAAGAAAGGAAAAGAGATGACAATAAGAAAATTGAATCTTTTATTATGTTTTGCAATTAATATAAATAAAAATTAACAGTTATGGAATAAGAGAATCAAAGGCCGCAGCAGGATCTTGATTGCCAAACAAAAATTATTTTTTTATTTTCCTTCTTTAATCAGGAATGAAAATTAAACGTTTCGATCGGCATTTCCGATCATCTTCAGTATAAATCTAATTCCGCGTGCTGGGATTCATTGGTGAGACATGAATTATCATTAGTACAAATTGGTCACCGGTAACATTATGAGGCTGTGCAAAGATTATATACGTTAAATTTATACTGAAGATGATCGGAAATGCCGATCGAAACGTTTAATTTTCATTCCTGATTAAAGAAAGGAAATAAAAAAATAATTTTTGTTTGGCAATCAAGATCCTGCTGCGGTCTTTGATCCTCTTATTCCATAACTGTTAATTTTACGCTGGGCCTAGATTGATTCTATTAATTAAATAAAAATTAATTATATAAATAAAAATCTTGAATTGTAAAACAGAATAAAAAATTCAATTTTCTTATTGTCATCCCTTTTCCTTTCTTTTTCAATTGTATTATAAAATTTCAATTGCACAACACAACCTACAATTACAATAAATTTTAATAACATAATATTTACAGCATATTAAATGAACACTTTTTGAATACTGTAATTAAAATATAACAATTAAAATGTTACAACTAAAAGCATTAAGTTTTATGATAAAATATTAAAAATTAAACACATGCAATAATGCACTGCAATACAAATAAAAAAAAAATGTAAAATAAGATTTTAACCAACGATATGCAGCGTTCCAGTCAGACGCCTTGCTCACTACGCCACGCCGCTGCTTGCCAACTTACTCTCACCGGTTGGTACATTACAATTTCGAAAATCTTTAAACGCGTTTTTCTCGCGAATGCTTGAGAGGTGGGTCGTATTACTTTACCATGAATCAGTGGGAGAACTGAAATTTCATATATATACCGGGTGTTTCAGACCACCCGTCCCACTCTTTTAAAACGTAGGGATGTGCTTGTACAAAAAAATGGCTCAGACAAAATTTGCATGATTTCGAGGGATCTATCTGATGGTGACCTTGACTTTGACCTCGCAGTTGTTTTTCAAGGTTATTTGAAGGTCAGAGTATGCAGTTGCATGTTGCAAACTACATATTTTTTCTTGAAAGCAACTATGTGTTTTCTTTATACCAATTGATTCGCCTCATTATTTTACGCATAAAAGTATTAAGGTAAAATTCCCAAAAATTGAATGTTTTACAAGATATTTTGTATTTTATGTCAAAATACTGTAATTTACAAGCCTCATAACTCGAAAAGTACTTAATGAAAAATAACTTCATTATAGTGTTTTGAAAAGCTCTTGACACCAGCTATTAGATTTTGGAATCAAAAATAGGGATTTCCATTTTAAAAAATAACTCTGACCTTTATATGACCTTGAAAATTAACTGCGAGGTCAAAGTCAAGGTCACCATCAGATAGATCCCTCGAAATCATGCAAATTTCGTCTGAGCCATTTTTTTGTACAAGCACATCCCTACGTTTTAAAAGGGTGGGACGGGTGGTCTGAAACACCCGGTATATAAGTCAACCAAATTGGAGAGGACAATCTCTGATGTTTCCCTTGTTAGTCTAATGTAATTAAATAATAAAAATTAAATAATCAGATAATTAAATTTAAATAATTTATATTATAAAATTTTATTTATATGGAAATTTGACTCTACATCCTAAGTCAGCGCTCGGAATTAGTTGCACATTTCGGGCCGATTTCCGAGACGACGCCTACTGTTTCCCCACCACCGCCCGGCCGCTGGCGGCCGAGCCGCCGATAGCTCTGGCTCAGGAGCGTTTTATATTAAAATAGGCTGGATTGTTTAGGCATCTTTCAAGAAATCGTAACATTTTCTTCACTACATAAATAATGTTTATTTTTATTAATACATAATATATATATATTTAATTATTAATGAAAATAAACATTATTTATGTAACAAAGAAAATATTACTATTTTCTGAGAGGTACCTCAACAACCCAGCCTATTTCTTATATAAAACGCTCCTGCGCCAGAGCTATCGGCGGCTCGGCCGCCAGCGGCCGGGCGGTAGTGGGGGAACAGAAGGCGTCGTCTCGGAAATCGGCCCGAAATGTGCAACTAATTCCGAGCGCTGTCCTAAGTAATACAATAAAAGGACAATTTTTATTCATTCAGACATTTATCTGTCCGATTTCTAAACAATCAGTTTAATATCTGAATTCCCTGTGTTGAGGTCGTATCAGAAAATTAAACTGATAAAAATAATTACTATGTCTTTAATCTTACTAGCCACTCTTTGCAAGTTTTATATAATCATTATGACTAAAACTTTTGAGATAGATTGAGAGATAGATTGTGCAACGCGCGTCGCATAGCGATAAACGAACGAATTAGCAATTACCGAATATTGCTTTTTGGAATGTTGCTGTCACGTTTTCATGAAATATTACAATTACATGTTCCAATAATGTCTCAACAATATTACATTGCAACTTGCAAGATTGTAACATTGCTGCAATGTAATTGCAATGTTCTGTGCTGTATGGGTTAATACAGCAAATTGTGATCTCTTAATCTGTAGTGCGAGAAAAATTTGCATTTAATAATATTGTCAAAATAATTTGTTTTAGATAAATTCTTTTGTGACAAATAATTTTACGAAGTTAATAAATGCGACTGACAAAAAAATAAGAAAACGAAAAATGGAACACCAAAAACAAGTCACAAGATACGGGTCTCTTATATTGGGATAGATTATTTTTTAAATATGACGAATTTATAAGTTTGGTCATATTGATCATATTTGTTCATTGATTATTCATTTTAATAAGTTTGATTGTTTTTCCGAAATTTCATGCGCACTAGTTACTTATGTATTTCTCGTTTTCAATACGCGTGTTACTTTTCCTCTCTTTTTTTCAGTTGAGGCTATCTGTATATTCTATTTCTGTAATTCTTGTTTCATTTTAGAAATCAAATAAAGACCATTTATATTGTAATTCTAATTATTATTAATTACTTATCACTCCACTCTAACACTATTAAAATCAAAGACTCATATTTGAGCTAAAATACTTTTTCTTAATAATTTTATTTATTATGTAGGCACGTATGCTCTCTTTACATACATTACCGTTCTCGACGCAGTAGGTTAAACTCTTTCCGTAACGCGTCATTTTTTTCCGACTCCAATACTGCAACATTCAAGCGTTCTTCCCGCATCCACGCATCCTCGTCAACTTTCTCCTCTCCGTCACCATCGCCATCCTCCTCAGGCAAATGCACATCGACGAGATCCGCCGCACGCGCCTCTCTTTTTCGTCGCTCATCGATCTTCCATTCGCCAGAATCGCGTTCATTTTATCGCTGAATAAGCTCAGCTTTCGTCCCTCCGGTAGCTAGTCCTCTCTCACGAAGGGCCTCTTTCAGTTCGACAACCGTAAATTCACTTCCTGGGCAAGACGTCATATTCGTTCTCGCTCAGTGTCTTTCTTAATTAAAAATTAAACTGTCGCGTCATTCGCACTCACACGGAACTTGATACTTGTTCACAGAACTCGATATCCGACGTACATGAACGTTTTCTCACTGAAAACCGCTATCTGCCTGCATTCGTACACTCCGCGTCTCCGACAGTTCGCGCCGAAAAATTGAAAAAGGCTTACCTCACTCAACGAAATTTATAGAGCTGGGCGCAATGTCCATATCCTGATCCAAATCCCATTTCTGATAAAGACTGTAGGCACGTGTAAAGCGCGCTTGAATATGGGCGAGGTTGAATATGAACCAGCCATATACATATACGTATATACAGGGTTTTTGAAAAGTCCGGAAACGGTCGAATATCTCATAAACAATGCATTTTGGAAAAAAATATTTTAGATAAAAGTTATAAGATTTAAAAAGACGCATTCAATGGCAGTATAGGCTTGATCATAGGTGGCGTTGTCAAGGTCAGGTGAAGGTCAACTTTGTTTTTTCAAATAAAACTCCCTATTTTTTATTGCACATTCTTGTAGCTTATTTCGAGAGCTTTTTAAAACATTATAATAAAGTTATTTTTCATTAAGTACTTTCCGAGTTATAAGCCTTGAAAGTTACAGTAGAGTGAGCATATATTGTGAGTGAGCTATTTTTCGAAGCAAACCATTCATCCACCCACTTCTGAATTTCTTCATAACTGGAGAAGTGTGTGTCTTCGAGCGCGTGTTGCATCGATCGGAAAAGGTGATAATCCGATGGAGCCAAGTCTGGAGAGTACGCTGGGTGTGGAAGAACTTTCCATTTGAGCTCCAAAAGTGTGTCTTTCACGATTTTTGCAACATGCGGTCGCGCATTGTCGTACAAAAGGATCACTTTGCGTCGATTACTAGCTACGGATGGCCTTTTTTGCATAAATGCATCATTCAATCGATGCAGTTGTTGTCGGTAGCGATCAGCGGTAACAGTTTGATTTAGATGCAACAGCTCATAATAAAGTACGTCTTCTTGGTCCCACCAAACACACAGCAGAGCCTTATGTCCATGAATATTTCGTTTTGATGTCGAAGTGGATGGTTGCCCGGGGGATCCACCCATGATTTTCTCCGTTTGGGATTATCGAAGTAGATCCACTTTTCATCTCCGGTTACAATACGCCACAAAAAACTCTTTTTATGTTGCTTGGCCAGCAAAGAAGTTGCGATGGACAAACGGTTTAAGATGGCATTTTCGGACAACTCATGTGGCAGCCATTTTCCTTCCTGCCTTGAATTTTTCCGAAGGCATGTAAGCGTTTGTAAACAGCCAATTAAGTAACATCTAACACTTTCGATAATTCTAAAAGCGTTTGAGATGGATTTTCATCCAATAAAGCTTGAAGTTCGACATCCTCAAACTTTTTCGGCTGTTCCTGAAAGGCTGTTCAGCTGTTCAACTGTTTTTTGTTTTCCACGCTAGAATCACCTCTTCGAAAACGTTGAAAGCACTCTATACACATTGTTTTTAATGGAGCTTCTTCACCATAAGTCTCGGACAGTAAGCGATGCGTTTCAGCCATAGACTTATATAAATAGACCCAGCGTTCTGTGAGAGGAGTTGTCCGCGTCTTCTAAAGGACAGAATGATACGCAGTAAGGTGCTGTCTCCGTCACTTGCTGGTCTGGAGGGGGAACGTCGACAACGTTGAGGGGAATTAAAAGGCGCGCGTACCGCATTTATACTTATACGCGTATTATATTTTATATACGTAATTTTATATATGTAATAAGTATTTTATATATGTAATAAGAGTAATAAGAAGGTATAATATCTCCAAAAAAAGCAAAATTTTTTTTACAAAAAAAGTTAATTATTTTTATTAGTCATACTTTACATTTACTGGTTTCTAAATATAACTGATCGATTACAAAATGATCTAAATCGGACAATTTTATCTTTAAATGATGTAGTTTCATGATGAATTCTTAATTTTAAATATTTTTCTAGAATTCGGTTGATTAAATCGTATTTATGATTTGATTCAACATCTAGTGGAAATATACCTGTTTCAAGATTATTAAATAAGTTTGTGGGAAGTATCAACTTTGTTCGATAACTTAGTCTAGCAATTACATTATTCATCTTTAAAAGGTTTGGCTCATTCCTTATTATCCGTTCTGCACAAACGCAAATTTTAATGACATCTTCACTTGGAGTTGTTAATAAATTTTTTGATAACCCTCTATTCTTCCTTATTTGCATAAACAAGGAGGGCCATCACTCTCTAAAGCTTCTAAGCACGTTTGACAATTATCTTTTTTCTTTATTTGTTCTTTTAATTTTTTGACCACAAAACCAGCAATATAAGCAATGACACTATCTTTATACTCACTCCAAAACAAAAAATTATCGATATTATAATCGTGATCAAAACTTTGACTGAAAATCTCTTCGATTTCAATTTGGTCATTTTCGTTAATAATATTTGTGCTTGTATCATTTAATTTAACTTTAAGTAAAGCTGTTTGGTCTTGTAATCTGCAGTTTGCAGACTTTGGAACGAGCGAATGTACATGCGTCGCTATTTTTTTATATGCTGCTTGAAATTGACGACAGCTCGGATTATTATTAAACCCGCCCATTCTTCTGAGGACTGAAAAATATGTCTCCAAGTGGTCTTGAGAAAGTTTATATGTTAAAAAGTATGCCACAATTTCTTTTCTAAATAAGTCTTTTGCTAATTGTAAGACATTTCTCATAGTAATAATTAAACCGAAAAAGCCTGTTTTTCTATTACTTTTTAAAATGGGTTTCTCTGTATTTTGTTTTCTCTTGGTATTATTTACATTTTTTTTAGTCATGTTAAGATTATTTCCAATAGAGTTTTCATCGATGAAATTATTTTGATTTTCTAAAGTATCCTTTGGTTTTAATTTTAATCCCTTAATGTATGTAATATATTCTTCTACCTTTCTTTCCCAATTTTTCAATATTTTCAGGACGAATGGAGTGCTGAAATTCATTATAACAAAAATTTGTTCTGACATTTAGAAAATCGAATATATCGTTTAAATTTCGACAAAATATGGATGTTCCATTGGCACCCTGAAAGTTTAGTAATTTCAAATCATCTTCTAAGAAAGATAACGCATCAGATGTGCTTCTGCTAAGAACTTGCACGGCCAAATTTACTTTCATTTTTTCTCTTTTGAAGTCTATGTGCCTTCTTCGAATTTTCGTTCCGCAATGTAAACCTTCTGTTTCTTGAAGAGTAACCAAATTATCAAGATATTTCCATTTAATCTCATTACCGTTGTCGTCAAGAAGATTAAAATCTGATAATACGGTTCTTGCAAGTTTCATCATATGACAAGGATCAAACACAATATAAATGGGATTATTATTAATGGGATGTCTAAAAAATATTTCTTTATCAATGTCGTCAAAGTTAGCTCCAAGACGTTCAGCTGTAGAAATATTAACGCTTGTGCCATCGAATGTAAAGGTGCATATGCTATCAATAGCAAAATCATGCAAAGTGCGTAAAATTACTCTTGTAATATTAGCCCTTTCCTCAGCTGCGAGACCATTTATTAAATAATAAGCCACAGGAGTTTTAAAGTGACCATTTAATGCCACTAACATATAAACCAATGCTGAGGTTGCTTCATCTGAATCATTTGACACCCCAGTTCCGAGATCAACAAATCCGTATGAAGTTTTACCGTCAAATTCAATATATTTTTTATATGCATTTCATCTGCTTGCAAACCAAATTGCAACTGTTTACCTTCTTTCTTATATTCTTCAACTAAGTGCTGTAAACTTTTTAAAATATCTGCATTTATACCAGGGCTGAAGTCGAATTTTCTATACCATCGACGTACAGTCTCCGGATGTGGCAAGCCACTTATCACTTGTCTTGTATACTCATAGGCAGCTGTCGAATAAAACATCAAACTAGCCGCAAATTCTTTTAATTCATTAGGATAATTATTTTTTTTTGTGGACATGACATTTTTAAGGATTTCGGTCAATGCGGGACTTATTGAACACTGTTAGAAAAAAATAGAAAGAAATACACGTTATATTGTATTAGACTTTTATGCTTTTTATTGTTATTTTCAAGTTAATAAAATACAATGTAAATTATATGTAAATATCACTAAAAATGTATAAGGCATAATGTAAAAATTTATAATGATGGCTTATTATGTATAACATACAGTACTCTTCATAAGTTTGAAAACATATAAAAGTGTGCAATATAAAGAAAATATGTACTAAAATCGATGTATTTTGATTTATAAATGATCAATACTTCAAAAAATTCTTAAACTACATAAAACGGAGAAAGATTAAAATATTCTTCTAAATAGCAAAAGCATACAACAGAATTAAAAAACAGAACATATAACATTTATTCCAAACGTAGTACTTTTTATGATTTGAGTTTGAGGAAGGAAATAACGAGCCCGAATTTTCTTTTCTTAATTTTGTACCACAGTCGGCTTATAACTTCTTCTGTGTGAGCTGATCATTCACTATGTTTAAGAATTAATCACTTTTTTATGTGTTCATAATCTTTCAACTGCTTTTTCGTCGGAATTTGCTAAAAATAGTGAGAAAAGTGAGTCGTTGGAAAGCCTTACCTTCAAAGTATCGACGGCATTACTTGACAAAAGACCCTTGTTGTGTAACTGTGACAGCAAATCTTTAAGGCATTTGACTTTATTTGTTAGTCGGCCAACTTGCTTTTGAAGACTATTTACTCGGGTGTTGTGCTTTTTAAGGTATTTCTTAACCACTTCATAACATTCGGGCGAAGTAAAATCTTCAGGACAAAGATCTCCAATAAATTTGACAGTTCGTATCTTATTGCATGTGGCAGTTTCGTCCACAGATTGCTTTCTTTTTCTGTAAAAACGAAAAGAAATATTAATATGATGCTGTTGTTAAAAATTTCATATTTTTCTTACCACATGTTGTGACTTACCTTGTTGACATTGAATCATTCTGACTATTATCAGCATTATTTATAAGTACAGGAGATAGAACATCTTCAATTACTCCGGGCTGTTGTTCGTACGAATCTGATTGCGATTCACAAAAAGATGACTTTTCATTTGTTGGCAACTTCAATATTCTAAAGATAACAATTTTATTTCATAAATAGCTTTATCACAACAATTTTATCACATAAATAGCTTATGATGAATTTACCTTGTATCGTGCAAATCCTGGCATTTTTCTACTGTAGGAATTGCTCCTTTTATTAAATGTCTTTGTATCTGACCTAATTTATTAGTTTTGTACTGAAAATCATTTGGCTTAAAATGATCGTTGCACACTTTGCTGTAATTAGAAACATGTTTTCCGATTACAGCAATCCACTTTGCTCGCAATTCTTCTGACCGTGGTATGCTTAAAAAAATGTTTCTA